TGGATGGATGGATGGATGGATGGATGGATGGAGAGAGAGAGAGAGAGAGAATGTAACTGCCTAAAAATGAGAATTAAAGTTTGTCTAATAGGTATGATGCCATGTCTTGTTTTAAAGTGATTGGATGTTATGATAGAAAAGATGACAGCAGACATCAGTGTTTTCTTGTTGAAAGGGAAGGTGGGAAGGTGGGAAGAAACCAGTCAAGGAACCCTTGTACAAGTTGGGTTACTACCCGCAACCTCACCCCTATTTGTCACACTTAAGATGCCAGGATGAATTTAGCACTGGGAACTGTATTGCTTTATGAGGCCCAACTCTCTTGTCTTTCAACCGGAGCTATAATTTAGAGTCCAAAAAGGGGAGTGCAACAACGCCATTAAAGAATTAGAGCCTTTCATGCTTTCAGTTGGTGCACTTAGTAAATCAGAGCAGTGGTGTCCTTTAGATGCTGTAAAAAATGCAAGAAAAGTGGCAACCCATTGACCCTCCAACCTAACATCCCTCTCTTGATTATCATTAACCTTAAATTGAGAGTCAGGATGATAGTCCTGTTAATCTTCTGCCAGATAGCAGGAATCTCTGAAGCTACTCTGAAGTCTTCCCTTTGTATTTTGTTCCAGACAAAGGAAGAGCCAGTTAGCTTCTTATTTTTAAAATTATTATTAATGTGCATTGTGTTTTGCTGGAAAGCACAGAACCCTGGAGAGTACACACGTACACAGTACATTTTGCTCTGAATTTTTTTTTCCCCAGCTTTGCTTTCTCATCCGCCGTGCTCCCTCTACCACTCATTCAGAAGACAGCAGTGCTTCTTCCAGGTATATAAATTACAAAGACCACCATTTCTGTGTTTACACTGCAAACCTAAAATGTGTTCCCTTGGGCAATTCTGTCCAGAGATGATACTTAGAGACATTAACACATTATTCAGCGTGCACCAGAACCAGTTTTTCTTCCCTTTCACTATATAAACTATAATGAGGACGAGGAGCTCAGGCCTCACCTTGTTAAGATTGTTCCTCTGAGCAAGGAAGGGCAGATGGTTACCGTGGCAATCCCAGCCAGTTTCCTGCAAGATATCCGGGGTCTGTCGCCTGATCTGCCTGGAAATGCTGAAGTGAACTTGTTTCTTGCTAGCCTGCATATTAAGACACAGACAGAAGCCCTCCTGGTTAACTGACTGCAAAACCAAATTTTCAGTTTGCTCAGAAATACACATTCACAAAGATGGCTGTGCTCATGCCGGATTGACTCTGAACTGGTTTAAGAAAATCCTGTCCAGACTGCAGGCTACCACACACTCCCACTGGACAATTCTGCTGCTGAGCCCTCCTACCTTTCAGTTTCAGGAAAGCACTGACCAATCACTTTCCTTTCTGTGGGTGGGATTTCCTGGACACGGATACCTTGATATGTGTACAATATATATGTCCAGATGTATAACAATATATCAATACAACAAAAGGCAAATGGTTATATACAAAGATAAAACATCAAGATACATCCCAAAGACTCTACTAATCACATCTTCTATTGTCCCTTCAACGAGCCCATCATGTCAGTGAGAAGAGAAATGCAGCCACCCTGGAAGACATTTATGGGGTCCCCCCAACCAACTTTCTAGACTGCAG